CCCCCCCCCCCAAAAAAAAAAAAAAAAAAGAAGAAAAAAAAGGATACAAGATGCAGGGAAAATAATTCACCCAAACATGTAACCAGCAAAATTTTCAATACTTGGGTTGGATGAAGAAAGGTGTAACTAATACATGAATGAAAATGATGTAACTTTACAGAAATCCCAGAAAATACCAAAAGTATCTGCATTGTTTGTGGATGTGCTGATCCTTCATAAAGAAGTCCCAAGGACATTAGTGCTGCTGACTGGAAAAAGAAAGAAAATACATGGTCAAAATCTACTAATTGCTATGCAGAATCATGTGTGTCATCAAGTAAAACAGATTTGTAAACTTTATGCCATGGCATTGATAGAGATATAGTTATTAACTGTGGGTTTCTCTATAAAAATAAAAAATCATATGTATACCTGCAAAAGTGTTGGTAACTCCAACTCTGAATAGGAATACGGATGGCGAGAAGGTATATGAACATAGAGAGACTGGCACATAATCACAAGTTATATATTGTCAAATAATACACATGAATAAAAAAAAAAAACCATATGACTGAAGAATACAGAAAAGGGTAATTCTGCGGTAATACTTATAAGACTATGGACAGTGCAAATTATAGCCATGGTTGTCAGCAAAAGTAAAGAAGGTTGACAATAAAATATTGAAAGACCAAACAAAAGACCAAACAAAAGACTAAAGCAAAATTTGAATTGTCAATAGAAACTGAGAATACACCTTAGATATTGAAGGTTGCATTGTGCCCCTGTAAGAAGCAGCCAAGCCAAGCATCAATCCAACTGTTGTGGCTTCATGTTGCTAAAAGGCAGTTGAAGAAAGAAAATTATAACATTAACTTTAGGACTGATAAAAAAATGCCAAAACACAAATATAATTAAAGTGCAATTATGGCATTAAACTAATCCCATGTGGTATACTCATGATATAGAAACAATGGAACGTGGTAATATGCAAGCAACATATGTGTGTGTGTGTGTGTGTAAAGAAGGATCAAAGGTAGAAGTTACACCACCAAAAGAAAATTAGAAAGGTGAAACAACATAATAAAGACACAACACTTGAGATTTATACTACAGATAATCTTATATACAATATGTTCTGTATTGCCTCAATTCCTCCCAACAATGCTCTTCTAATAGAAAACTTTGTAGCTATTCTCCTAACTGGAGCCTAGGTCTCGCAACTTCAGGAGGTGGCAGGAAAGATGTTTTATCTTCCTCGTTTTTGTTCAATGGAAGTACTTTTTGCCTTCTTGAATGAATAAATGGCAGCACAGCAATTGGAATAACCAAAAGTGGTAGGATAGAGTTCAAGTGGGGTTCTGAAGACGGAGTTGGAATGCACACAAGATCAAGCAATTCAAGACAATGATTGAATAGACTAACGCATCAGTATGAATTAGTAGGAATTTAAATAATTTGAACCAAGGACACCTTACCGGTGCATAGTATTGGTATATATCGGTAATTGTTAAAACACACAGATAACCGTGTAACCCCAGAGCAAGAAGAAGTCCAGCATGAACGGCATTAGGCTCCTCAGGTCTATTATAAATAATCCAAGTCCTTGACATCTTCCCCTGGAAATAATAATGTTGAAGAATCATTGAAGTCGATGATGTACTAGTAGCATATAACAAAGATATGAACATAAAACAATTAATTCTTTTTAGAATAAATATTCGTATTAACATCAAAAAAGAAAAAAGAAGGCTGAGGGCATAAGTATTGCCCAAGCTCAAGATCTGGAGCTCACGAAGAAATTCTCCAATAAGCTGAAATCAGAAATATTTTAAGAGAAACCGCTTAATGTAACGTCACCCATTTCTTATTTAAAAAAAAAAAGGAAACAAAAGATAGAACCTGAGTTCTACACGAAGGTACAAAGAAGAAATTGTGCAGTGTTTAAAAGTGGTTCAGCTTATAGACGACCACTGGAATAATCAGTCCGTCGAGATTTTATTACAAGCCCTTCAGAAGAGAAAATAAAAATCAACCAGGAATTTTCTTTTGATTGTTCAACAGCATAGGAGAATATTTCTGTCTTATATCTCCTCACTTTGCTCCCTCTTATATCTCCTCAGAAAATTCTTCTATTCCAATATTTCTGTCTCCAAACTGCTTTCTGATTCAATTTGACCATGAAAAGGCTAAATCTGCTGATCACCTTTGGTTCTCCAGCCAAATGGCATAAAATATCGTTTAACGAAAGGACAGTAATAAATAAAAAATGGATATAAGGAAATAGGCAGTAGCTTATTAAGGAATTTGCTTCTTAATATTCTCACAAAGGGACAGTTATAAATAAAATTATAAATGGGTGTGAGGAAAAAAGAAAACCGCCTAATAGGCACAACTTTCTTATTTCTCAGTAAGAGCTTCATGTAATATAACCACAACGAGGTAAAATATGAAATACAATGGACAGTAAAGAAAAGAATGGATGTTTTACTTCTAGAATGATTTAATTCCAACCTGGAGAGGGGCCAATCTTAGTCCAGCAGCAACGGCATTATGAAACTCAGGCCATGTTCTGATCTCAGCTACATTCCTGACATTTGGATCCAAATTAACCTGTACAGGATAGGGGTGGAGGCATGTGTTGAGAGAAAATGTTCGCAAAATACTCCAATCAAAAGGAAGATAAATAGTATAACTAACACGTGTGGAAGTAAATGCAAGGTAAAGAGGAATTTTCCTTCTCACAAAACATTTCTTTCGTTTCATAGAAGGGAAAATATTTTTCCTTGGCTGTAGAAGATGAATATTTATAATTTATGAGCAATGGCTATCAAACTGAAGTATAGGGTTTCGTTTAGTAACTTTTGTAGTTACATAATTTCCCATACACACAAGTCAAGCGAATGATAAACTAAAAACATGATACAGCATAATCATACTCATACCGTTGCATTTTGTTGTGCAGGCAGCCGCCCAGCCAATACAAGCTTTGGGACTACAAAGGCCTACAGAAGTATTTTGACAGATCGATAAGAAAAATGCATCTCAGACAATATAATACAAGTTAAGCTTCGCAAATAGTATAAAATCACATCCATCCAAGAAGGCTTATGCATGATGGAAAAAGGAAAAACCTCTGTTAAAAGAGTATATATGGTTGCAAGAGTAAATGCACCACGGCCAAAGGGAAGAGAAGTCGTCCTTTGCGCAAGTTGCCAGAGCTGGGCCTTTAGAAATACAGATATTTATAAGTTGTTCAGAAATCATTAGCAGCTGAATAGTATAACAATTATTAACAAAAGACGATTAATTTTATTTTCAATATAATAAAAAAACATACCAATGGAAAATAAAGAAAACGACTATACTGGAATAGATGATTTTCTCGAGTGTCAAAAGGGAGTAAATATCACCAACAGAAAAAATGTCTGAAAATCCCCATTGAGTTGCTTAAGGTGTTTCAATTATTTATTGATATATCCCTACAGCTTCTCCTTCAATGCTAAAAAAATATGACCCTTTCTAAAACCCTAGCCTCACTTAGAAGACAAACCCCAAACTGATTAAAAAATCTTAGACAAGGCTCTGACCCCAAGAAAACTAGATCATCATTAGGAGAGAATACTCATTGAAAATTCGTCCGCTGGAATCCAAGACTTCAATAAAGGACAAATGATCAAGTAAATAACTATTTTTGCACTTCAATTATCATATACCTGATTCAGAGTTCTATGATTTAAACGAGGAGACCAAAGGTTAACCATAGAATACCTGTTGTAGGTCCTGATCGGAAGCACTAGGGTTAACAGATGTCTGAATTGCTACAGGTCTTGCAGAGCACAGAAGTCTTCTAACCTAGTAGAAGAAAGAACAGCAATGAAAATCCTAGAATATATCATGATATTGGAAAATTATTCGAACCAACGAAGATCGAATCCCACCAGTCAATTGAAATTCTTGACAACTACAAATACAGGAATGATGTTAGTTCAATAAAAATAATACAAACATGCTTGCATCAATAAACATGAAGTGGCCATCAGGTCCTAAGCATAACAATTTTTGGTTTTCCTTCCACAACGATTTCAATAAGGCTGCCTTGTTCCAGAACTTCTCCAGGTCTTTCTCATTCAAACTAGAAGCAAACTTTGTGGCTCCTTTCTATCGTTGCTATTTGTTGGGTTATCTAGCTAAAAAGGGACAAGCATGTTTTTTTGTGGCATAGAGGGCTCCTTTAATCAACTGAGGGAAGATGTCAGCTATTTTACGGCTCTGTGGGCTCTCAAATCAAACACGTGTTGTAATTATCTTTATCCTTTTACTTTGCTTCTGCTCTTATATAAGCTCCCACCCTCTGCTCATACCATTATCCTCATCAATACAACTCCCACTATATATCTAGAAAATGCATCCAACATTACAAAGCACATACCTCATTTAATCTTAGGTCCCGGCCATATTGCAACCGTGTGCTAGAGTTAAAAATATGCTCCATACCATCTGTCGTAGATCCTTCAATAGAATCTGCATCCTCAATCTTGCCGGCGTCCAGTCCCATTGTATCACAAACTGCCGAAGGGATTGTTACTGGATGCAGATGCAGCATGTATGGAGTAGACATAGAAATTAAATTCATATTTGTTTGTGTTTCAAATTCCTTATGTTTGCAAGAACGTGCCAAACTGGACATGGCCAAATCTTCCCGGCCAAGAAGTGCATATGCAGCAGCAGGCCAGTCATTTGGGGGAGATTCCCGGCACTTATCCAATGCCTATGAAGTTTAAAAGCCAATAGTTCAGATAAGTAAAATTGCAATAGAAGAGAATAAGAAACCATTTGGGGTAAAACGCCTAAATTGTTTTTAATAAAAATAAGAGGATATAGAGTTCACACTACACTACATTGCCGTCCTTATAAAACATTAAAGTGATCAAGGATAAAAGAAATTCCTCTTTCATTTATTACCTAGAATAAATACGATCATTTATTACCTAGAATAAATACATGCATATATGACAAAAATACTGAAATCCTGTAAACAGCACTACACATGCTATTTTCGGTTCATACATTATGAATTCTCGATATCTTTGAAAACAAAGCAATTACATGCATCAATTTCCAGACTTGACGGGAAGAACATCTTAAATAACGAAACTGCTTCTATAACATAACTTACGTGTCTCAAGGGAAGAGATACACCGGAAGGCAATAGGTCCAGCTGCTGCTGCCCAAATGCCTCCCCAACCATTGCTAAAACCACGAGCTCCTCATTTGTGCTATGTGATCCCGTTGCAATATTACAGTAAACACCGGTAGAGAGTTTTTTTCCTATCTTCTTTGAACCAGCTAGCAAACTATAGAACGAGACTATTTTTCTTGACCAGCTTACCACAGAACTTTCCTCATTAAGGATTAAAGATGGCAGATCAATTAACTTAGCAGAAGTATGACCATGTAGCAAGCAATTCTCCAGCCATCTGAATAAACTAGGAGGCTTTTTCTGAGAGTTTGTGGTCATGCAGACTCCAACTTGTTTAGCAAGAGAAGGGAAATCGCGAATGTAATGATCCAAATAGCTTTGCTGACCCAGAAACCATGAGATATCACATAATAATGTTGACAGAAGTTCCAAATCCCTAGGGAAAAAATAATTAGGGACGAATAAAGTAGAATAAATGCACAGAAGTGAAAAAAAGAAGTATTATGACTCATGCATACAGAAGGTTCCGATAAAACTGCAACTGCAACTGCAATCCTTTAAAAGCACTAAACCCCAAATTCATTCGTCAGTGCAAGAATTATTAATATATAAATGCAGGAAAAACATTTGCTTTACGTGCATATTAAAGAAGACAACCAGCATTCTAGGCATGAAGAAAACACCCATCCTATTCAGATACTTAATGACAAACTTTGATTTCTTTTTTCAATACTCAAGTGCTTACACACAATTGATTTCATGGGACAACTACCTAACCTTCTAACATTCGGTTGACAAGGAAATTCCTAGGAATCTAAAACCAAGGTAAAAAATCATGGTTTGTACTCATTCTCTCTAAGCTCCTTAAACATTTTTTCACTAGCCTCAATGATCACTAAGCTAAGGAAACTCAAAGGAATCTAAAAGGGGCCGGACTACTGTTGTGGGGCTGGTTTTTCATGTGTCCTTGTATTTATTTTCATTATTTCCAATGAAAGTTTTGTTTTTCCTAAAAAATATAACCATTGGGCCAACTTATTCTAAATAATAACAAGATGTGACTTGAGGCTATTATTAGTTTCCAAGGAAGCACAAAGCATCGTGCTTTGCATTTATATTTTTTAAACTAGAAGTTGTCAATCCTGCAGCATAATGTATGAACACCACTTTGCTGGAGTGACTACCTCTCACTCGCTGGATAATAGGTTATTCAAATATTAAAGCAACAATTTAAAAGAGAAGCATAAAAGAAGCAACATTCACACGGAAAACACAATAAAGAGTTACCTTTTACGAAGCTTCTCAAGTTTCAAATTCTCATATACTGCATGCAAACAATCAAGACTCTCTCCCAATAACTGAGAGTAAAACGGTTTTTCTGAACTCTGAGTACTGTCTAGAGTTATGCAAGAAGGCTCCAATTTGTGTGTGTCACTTGACGTTCCAAACCACATACCATTAATAAAATTACGCTCCCCGAAGCTCTTGTGAAAATTGCTGCTCACCAGAAACTCCCATGATGTGCGTGGCTTCAAATTTGAAAGATCTTTCTGGAGACCATTATACTTATTACATATTTGCATAATAACACTGCTAAAGGAGTCCCATTCTGTGGTCAACATAGAGTTAGCCCCTGCTGAACTGGAAGATTCTCCATCTTCCCAAAGAAGACCAAAAAAGTGATTGTAAAAGGATGAAGTAAGCCCCTGAGACAATGCTGCAATGCAATCACTGACCAACAAAGACAAAGGACTTCTGCGTAATGAACACCTAAATATCTGCAGAACAAAAAATTAATAGATCTGCTAAAGTCACAAAGGCCCCAAAGAAATGGGAGAAGGAAAAGATAAATAATGAACAACAGAAGACATAACAGCCTACCTGACCATTGTTTGTTATTATGTTGAGACGCTCCTCAACGGCATCAGTCAGTTCAATTATTTTGGACTCATGGGAAACAGATGCTGAATCAGGAAGCTCTGAAATGTGGGTTAACGGTCCTTTACACACAGGTGGTAGCATGTAACGGCACAAGCATTGCTTTCCTGACTGCATATTGCCAAATGTATTTGATTATGAACTTCACTTCGATGCGAACTTTATTTAAAAAAAGTTCAATCCACAAAAAGAAAATAGAAAGATGAGGTGGGCAAAAGATTATCAAAAGC